CCTTGCCCTGAGGGCACTGAGCAGCCAGGTGGGAGGAGCCACCGCACTTGAAACACGTAGTCTCTCCCACAGACAGATAGATAATATACCTCCGACCCTCGAGCGTGAGGCTCAGGGAGCAAGGTAGAGACTGGGGGCCCTCCTTGAGGAGCATAAAGACCTGCCTCCGAAAAGACAGGACGTGCTTCCCCTGAGGGTCCTTGCTTCCCATCGGCAGTCGGCGAAAAGGACTCGTAGGGACTCCATAGGCCTCGAGTCCTCTGGCCAGCTCCCGATCAGAAACGTGCGGTGGGACGTTGGAGATCACCACCCTCACTGCCTGAGTCTCCAGGGGCGTGACAGGGTAGTGGATGCCCGCAATGTCTAAGCCCTCCGCACACACCCTGTCAACCAAGGCAGGCGTGCTCAAATAAATCATCGGGACCGTGTTCACACGACCCGCATAGCGGATGGTACGCCATCCCAGGAGCGCAGCTAGAGCCTCCATGCAAACCTCGAGCCCCACATGGAGAGGGGTATGAACCCTCAGGCCATGAGTCAGCGGGAGGTCCCGAGAGACATCGTCATGCCAGCTGCTAGGTGTAGGAGCAGCCATCCTCACTAGGACAGTGTTAACTACAAAGCAAAAAAACCTAAGGGAACGAAAAGAAAACTTAAACACAGGAGCTCAAGGCCAAGCTCCCGGGAATGCGGCCAAAACAGAAAGTGAAGATAAGCCACTGAAAGGGAGGGAGGGAGGGATTTGGGGGGTGAAAAACAGCGTGGATAGAGCAAAATAAGAGGGGGGGGAAAGAAAAATGCACCCCTCAAGCGGCAAATGATAAGAGACCTCCCCGCAAAGGGGGAGGAGGGTAAAGGGGAAAAAAAGCGGCAGGGGAAGGAGCGGGGGGGGGCGGTTAAAACAGCAAAAAGAAAAAAGAAAAGGAAAACTAAAGGGTGAGGGGGGATGGAAGGTAATTAAGAGCACCTCTGGAAGGCAGGCTAATGGAAAAGGTAACTCCCCGTAACAAGCAGACAGAAAAGAGAGAAAGAAAGAGAAAGAGACAGTAAAAGAGGAGGCTGCGAGACGCGTCTCACAGACAAAGAAACCGGAAGCAGAGTGGGAGGGAAGAGAGAGGAGAGAAAAGTGGGGGAGAAAGCTGCAAAAAGGCAAGAAAAGAGTCAGAAAGCGAAATAAACAGAGGCTAGAGACCTTTAGACAGGTGGGAGGGAAGAAAGAAGAGAGATAGGAAGCCAGGGAGTCTTACGCTCGGGATCGCCCCACGCAGCTCCAAGCGAGCCTGCTCCGCAGCGTCCGAGCGGAAGGAAGGAAGGAAGAGTGAGGTTACTTCTCAGGGTCTGGAAAGAGCTCTAAGGCTGTGATGTTGGAAGTAGTTGTACTACCATGGGAGAGAGGAGCTAGGCAGAGAAGGAAGACTACAGTGCAGAGGAAGCAGCAGTGAGCCAGAGGCACCCTCTCAGGACTATGGGGAAACTCAGGACTGTGAGTACACCCTGTTTAGGCTATGTTAAGTTATGCTATAGAGTGCTTTATTTACACTGGTGATGATTCCTGAGAGGCAAGTGTGTCCAGGAAATAAAGAACTGTGCAAAGTCCAAAGGCTTTTGAACTAAACAACCCCTCAAGCCCACTACAGTACTACTCAAAATAGGTTTTTATAGAAACAGTTCTACTGCACTTTAGTGAGCAGTTAGATTTTCCTTCCAATAAAATCTAACTTGTACATATTCATCACAGAGATATCCGAAAAGAAAGGAAATGTGAGGGGGAGTGTGTGTCATTTGGAAGTCTGTTATCAGTAATGGGATAGAATCTGCTGGATGATTTTTTTTGGTTAACCTCCAAATATTTGGGATCACTAGAAGTGACTGTTTCCCTTTCACAAACCTGTCTGGAGGGGAGCCCTGAGTTTCACTCCACTTACTGCAAGGAACAGAATTAGATTGCCCTGAGGTCCTCTGCCCTTGTATCTAGATTCTGCAGCTGAAGTGAGGGCCCTTTGCTGACCCCAAGTACTTTTGGGTTATGAAAGAAGAAATTGTAGAGCTACCCCTCTGGTGAGAGGGTCAGCCTGGAGAATCACCAGCTCAGAAGTCATTTGTTCCACAGGCAGCCAGTAAGGAAACAAACAACAAAAGGGGTTTATTATAAAAAACAGAACAAGCATAAGAAACCAGTAACCGTAGCATGAGATACAAATGGAGATGTAAGAATAAACGCACACAAGGTAATACCAGAACATTTAACCTGTTCTTACCCTACACTTTAAACCCACAGACCATTTCAAGAGCCTGAATGTAGCCTCTTGCTCTGACCCTACTCATCAGGGCCACTTTCATTTGCCTCTCAGCTTGGTATACATGGCCTTCCTAGCTGGGGGACTCAACCACTCTCTTGTACCTGGGAAGACTGAAGACCAAAGCCATGCTCTCTAGGCAGGCTTAACTACCTTCCCCAATCTGGCTATTAACATAGGTCACTTCTTCATTTCTAGGAGGCTCATACTATGCCAGCAACTTCCTGATTCCAAGGTTGGGTACATGCATTACACACAAACTGATCTAAGTGATCAGAAATCAGTCTAAGATTAGAACTGTACAGAAGTTCAGTGTGCATAGACTAGTCTAAAAATGGTGGAACCTAGTCTAAAAAAGGTTAATCAATTTAGGTTAGAATGGTGAATTGACTTCCCTTACCAGATTCCCCTATCAATTCAAGTTGGATCACTGTCCTCTGGCATACCAGACTCCTTTGATTCCCTGAAGCTCCCCCTCCCCTCTCCTTACAGGGAAGTGCACGAGCACTTGGCCTGTACTTGGTGACTCTGGCTGAGGTCCTAATGGGCCCCGCCGCTGAACTCTCCCAAAGTCAAGCCAGCAGATCCCCTTTCTCTTGAAGAAATTATTAGCTACGCTAATTAAAGCACTACCCCTCGCACCTCTGGAGCATGTGTAAAAGTTCCCATGGTTTTTAAGTGATTCTTAATGTGCATTAGATTATTTTAATGCACATTAACTAAATAGCATGCTTTAAGTGATGCTTTAATGCACATTAAAATAAGTGCATTCAAGCTCATGTGTACACATACCTAATGTCATAAACCTTTTGCCCCTGGAAGGCTGAATGCAGTAAAATTAAAGGTTGTGTGTAGATGAAACGGGGCGTGTGTGCACAACACTTTAAAGAGGGCTAAATGCTTTTGCCTTGCTTACTGGTGTTGGCGCAGTGTATTGCGCACTAATTCCAGTTGCTGTAGGAAATTTGGTGGCATAATGTGCCTTAAATGACTAGGGGCATCACAAATTAGAACTCCTCTGAGGAGCTTTAGTTTGCTGCTCCTACAGCCACGGAGCAAAGCACCGGGCTCCGTACAGCTCTGGAGGCAGCCTGGGAAAGCAAGCTCCGCCCAAGGAAAGTGATGAGCCTGATCTTTTCCCTCGCCTCCGGGAGCCTGCCTGCCTGTCTGAGCTGTGCAGGGGCCCAGTACCTTCCTTCATGGCTGTGGTGCCCCCTGGGACTGCCTGAGCCAGGTGCCTGCAGGTTGGTGCCACCTGGCGGGGCACCACCATTGCTGCAGAGGGAATCGCCCCCCTCACCTTCAGCCCAGGGTCCTCTCTGTCCACCAGCGGCTTGCCCTCCCCTCCCCACCAGAGAGGCAGGTAAGTCAATGGGGTGTGTGCACGACACAAAGGTTTAATCAGCCCTAAATTGAAGCAGAGTTTTTTTAAAACCCACTAGTTCAATTTAGGGCCCCCACTTCATCTACACACACCCAAAGACACTAACCATTTCATAAGGCAGAACTATGTATACAGGATGCTGCAATAATACACTGGCGGTAGTTCCTGGAGATGTTATACTAACAGAGTTCTAACTCTGTCTGTTTGAACCACCTCCTCTCTACCCCTTTGAGGAGAGTGGGACTTGAGTGGCATTAGTTTCACATAGGGTCTTTATTAGACAAATGTGAAGACTTATCATTGTGCTTGCTTCCCAGACAAATCAAGGAGTGTCGTAGGGAAGTTCTTTGTGTTCACTTTTTCCTTCACTCTATGTTTGTACCTAGCAGGTCTTCATATCAAAAGATCCTAAAACACAGAGCAGGTTGTTACTTTATCCACAGCTACAGGTTTTTGCATAGGATTTAGGTTACAGTTGATGCATCTACGTTTTGTGATCTAAAGTGATCAGACCAGTGTATAGTACTACACATTGGTTTTTAGTGACGTACTACATATCTTTATTGTCTTGTCTTAACGTAAACCACAACTGAACTATACTAACTTCTCTTATAAGTGACTTTTCTTGCTGATTTCTTCTGAAGGACCTGAAGTAAAATAAAAATATGCATAGTGAATTTTAAATAGATGAGAAGCTATTCAAAGCTACAGACACACACATTGAAGTCATTATTACTGAAATCACTGCAGCAATACAGAAAAATAGGAACCTGATTCCAATGAAAATGTTGCATCCTGTGATTTTAAACTAGTCTCAGCACAGACATATTCCAACCACAAATTTTAGACATATGGTAGCAAGGAATCTTGTATGTTCTAAAACAGAAAAATAAGCAGACAACTCTTCTTATCCAAAGAGGAATCAGTAGGTGCTTTGCAGCTTTCACTCAGAATTCAGTGCAACATCATATTGTCAGACCTATAGTTGAAATAATTATGACTTTCGTCAGTTCTGAAATGCAAATAAACCTTTTCCAGGTGGCTCCAATTTCAAGTACACCAATTTATTTTCTGTGCATGAGAACTACAGTGGGATGGATAGCTTAGAAAAGAGGACATGGTTTGATAGGAAATAAAAAGATGGACAGGATATTTATGCATGAACCCACCTGGTCTCAAAATTATGTTTTATAAATCTGACCAAAATAAGAGACATACAACAGGTGTACTTCTGAGAACATAAAATTAATATATAAAGTTGTTATAGTGCTGGGAACTTAGCAAAATGCTGATGTTATATTTTATTTATAACATCATGTATTTATCTGCTAATGGAAAGGACACAAAACAGTATTAGCAAGTGTATCAGAAAGCCCCCTTTTCCTCTTGCCTGCATTTGCTTTCCCTTCTTTGGATATGTTTCTCCTCTTCTACCTTTTCTTCCTTCCTCCCTCTTTCTTTCACTATAAGATAAGGAATTGTGTGTTAAAGTTTGTATGTGTGTATTTTGTATCTCTCCTTGTATTTTAGTATTTTTATCTATTTGTGTGCCATGGCATTACTCTTGTAGCTTATATTTTCTACTTTTCACCTTTTAACTAAATGTGTTTTAGTTTTAGAACCTACACCCTTTTAGTTTTAGAAGCAAGTTATACTCTGTAACAATGTTAACAAGGGCAGGAGTCAAACTGCTGCTTCCCTGTATCAGGCAGGCCCCTGAAAGAGCGAGTGAATCAGTGATTGAATGCATAACACAGTAGCAGGCAGCAATTAACACCTAGGGAAACCGCAGATCAACCAATGGGAGAAATCAATAGGAGACAATGTAGCAACCGGGAATTTTCTAAACTACACTGTTCAAGGGCTAGAAGCCCTGATCTGAGTTAATCAATGCCGGGGACCAACTTTTGGGGCTGAATATCTCCAGATCAACCGCTCCCAGAGCCCTATGCAAAATTCATCAACGGACTCCCAAACCTGCACGTACATGCGGACGACCCCTGGGGTTGACAGTTGCCATCCAGTAGCCACCAAGGGGGAAGTCCCACGAGGGTCAATGACCCCTGGATTGGGCAAACCTGAAAACTGGGGAGTCACTAAAGTCTGCCAAGGACAGATAAAAAGCAGTGAAAAGTGACCCTCAGTGGCACCCTCTTGATCTCCAACTGGACCAGCACCCGACCTGTCCAGCCAGAAGGACCAGTTGGCAACCCCCTTCTGGAGGATAACACCACGCTGAAAGAAGCCTCGACTGGCCATTGACGGCAGACTCCAGCGCCTGTGGGATAGGTATACCCGACTCTTATAACTCGCTACTGTGTGTGTGTGTGTGTGTGTGTGTGTGTGGACCAACCCCAAGGTTTATGATTTGACTTCATTACAGTGTTTCAATCTGCCTAATAAACCAGAATTTTAAGGATCCTGAGTTGGACATTTGTAGCCAACACAAGCAACAATATTAAATAGACTTTCACTGATGGATACAACCTTTATGACTTGCATATTTTGATTGGCAACTTGTGACAGTTGTAGTTTGTGTCCCATCTCTTTAATATCAATCCTGCAGGAAATGGCATCTATACTGCAGTGTGTAGAAATACCAAAATGCCCAAAGCATGAAAAATTCCTGGAAGTCCACAAAGGAAGCTTACAAATAAGGACCAGAACTCTTTCATTGTTACCAATGTAAGTATCTGTTGCTGATTTCCCGAACTTAGACTTTTGTGAGCAGCTTTTTTCACTTAGGACAAATTATTGGAAGAAACCACCAGCTATGGTTTTCACCGCAACATGTGTGCATGT